CAATTGATCATGAGTATAGAAAAGAAATATGGCAATCTAAATGTAGAAGGGAACTTCGAAGAGCATCTGCTTCAGCCTTCCAGTGTAACAGATGAAGAAACAGAAACGGAGGGGTTAAGGGATTTATCTCCGTTCCCACTGTTTTCCAGCTTCTTCTACACAGAGTCCTTTCTTCTATACCATATTCTTCCATTGTTCACATGGAGGGTTAATAAATCTGAACTGAAAGTTTGTATAATAAACATAAAGGAAAAATAAATGGAATTCAGATGTTTGGTACACGTGAAAAACTCCAAAGATTATAATGTGCAAAACAAAGAGGGATACTAAGTCATAATACCTGCTGCCATCAGTGGAGATTGGCTAATGGCATATTTTTATTTATGCTGTTGGTCAAAGCATAAAACACAGAGAACTAATTCATTTTCTATGCCATTAAGCCAGGAGGGCAGCTATTAGCGTAAGCCTTCTAGGGAGATGGTGAATGCATGACCTTCATTGAGAACATTTCCTCTTATTCTTCAAAAAATATTTAGGTGAAATAGGCCAGGCACAGTGGCTCACACCTACAATCCCAGCACTTTGGGAGACCAAGGCGGGCGGATCATGAGGTCAGGAGATCAAGACCATCCTGGCCAATACAGTGAAACCCCATCTCTACTAAAAGTACAAAACAGCTGGGCATGGTGGTATGCACCTGTAGTCCCAGCTATTCTGGAAGCTGAGGCAGGAGAATTTATTGAACCCAGGAGGCAGAGGTTGCAGTGAGCTGAGATCATGCCACTGTGCTCCAGCCTGGTGACAGACTGAGACTCCATCTCAAACAACAAAAAAAAAAATAGGTGAAAGGGGTGAAAATTTCCGAGAGGGTGGAAATTAGAGCACTGTCCAGCCCTAAGATTTTAAGATGTTTTATTGCCATTTTTTAAAATAATTTTTTAACTTTGCATTATGGAAAATGTCAGGCATACATCAAAGTAGGCAGAATAGCATTAAACCTCATGTACCCATCTATACCAACTTCAGCTTCAACAATATCAATTTAGTCAATCTTGTTTCATCAATATTTCCACCTACTTCCTCCCTTTCTTAATATTTTAAAGTCAATCCCAGATGATAGCATGTGATTTCATCTATAAATGTTTTAGTGTGCATCTCTAAAAGATAGGTACTCAAAAAGCATGCTCACGATGCAATTATCACACTTAGGAAAATTAACAGTAATTATATCATGAAATGCCCAATGTTCAAATTTCCATTTATTTTATGATCTCTTTTAACTGTTTGTTCAAATTGACATCCAAATAAGGTCACTTTATCTCTTTAGCCTCTTTGAAGGAACAGTTTCATCTTCCCCCTGCCCTACAATTTATTTGTTGAAAACAGCAGTTTGTTTGCCTAGAGTCTCCCACAGTCCACATTTTACAGAATGAATCCCTGTGTCCTTGGTCCTCTGTATTTCAAGGTAGTTAGTTCTAGAGCTGTGCTGCCCCACAGGGTAGCCACTAGCCACACTGTAGCTATTTAAATGAAAATGAAGTGCTAATAAAAATTCAGTTTCTAAGTCACACCAGCCATATTTCAAGTGCTCAGTAGCCACAAGTGGCTAATGGCTACCTATAGACAGCACATACATACAGAACATTTTCACCATCTCGGAAAACTGTTGGACAACCCTACTCTAGAGGTTTGATAAAACTCTATGAGGTTGCTTTGGGGAAGTAGACATTGAGTAGTAGATGAGTCATCCACCAAGTCTTTGACTCACAGTTGATCTCCTACACAGCAGTCACTTTAAACCTCCACAACAGGACTCTGAAGATAAAATAAATGTTCAGGCAATATGTGTGTTTTTAAAGTTATATAAGTAGTATACCTAAGCATATTTTTCTGATTTCCTTCATTACTCAACTCTTTAAATGAGAATTAACCATGTTGAGATATTTGTGTGTAGTTTATTCATTTTAATCGATGTATAATGTTGCATTGCTTTATATATCACAGTTGATGAATTAGACAGTTTTCAGTTTTCTGTGTCATACACTGAGATTCAAGGAACATCATTGTATACTTTTGTGTCCTGTTACATATGAGTAAAGGAGGCAAGCTTGACATGAAATTTCTGGGACATTGCATGCGGACATCTTTAATTCTTAACAGTTATTGCACAATCACGCTCCAAAATGATTATAACAATTTACACTCCCACCAACAGTATGCGAATGTTCCCAGTTTCTTACCTCATTACCAATAGGAGCTCATGTATATGCAGCAAAAGGATTAAAACAAGCATAAAAAAGAAAGGCAAAGGAATGGAGAAGGGAGTCATGACTTAGCTCAATCTGCAATGTTTTCTTTCTTATTGAGAAAAAAAATGACAAAAAGTTAACATTTGTTAAATGTGAATGGTGGGCACAGAAGAGTTGGTTATGTCATTTTTTAGCATTGTTTGGTAGCTTTACACTATCAGAATTAATTTTTATTTTATAATCTTTTTTAATGTAAAGATGTAATAAAAATTATACAGTTTCACTGTAAAGAGCCCCACTTCAAAAAAAATTAGACAGCACATATTTTTGGATATGGAATTATCTGCTATCTGCGAGGTTTCTGTTTGTTTATTTCTTTGTTTTGGTTTGGGGATTTTGTTTTGGTGGTTTATTTATTTATTTTGGCATTTCATTTTTAAAAGACAACACATAGGGTGACAATCCATTGCTTACATTTTCTCCAGATGACCTGCAGCTCCTGGAATATTTCCATCAAGCTTAACTTGGTCAAATACAGTATTGCCAACTAATTCATTCATTTTATTCCTCTATGTTATATTACATGTCAGCAAGGTGATTTATGTTATACTTTCATGCTATATTATATAATACATACCATAGCATTTGCTTCCTCTATGGATGATATATTATATAATATATCACATAGCATTTGCTTCCTCTATGGATGATATAAAGTAAAGAGAGGGCAAACTGTAAATGAAGCCTTTGCTTGGATTAGTGTCAGGTTTTGCGGAGCATTACTGACTCGTTGCCATTGACTTATGAGCTATGTGGACAAGATAAATTATCTGTCACTGACAGGGAGGCGGGCTCAGTTTTAGTATCACTATATTTGCAGTGATCACTTTAAAAATCCAAACTAGAACTCTTCTAAAGAATACGACTACAAGGCCTGATTAGCCTGATTTGTCAGTCCAGAAACAATTCTTAAATCTCTTTTATATACAAGGCACCCTGCTAGGCCCTTTGAGGAACATAAAGACAGACAAGCATTGGTTCTTGCCTCTGATAACTTAAAACCGGGCAACCCTTTTCTTTTACAAAACTAACTACAGAAATTTTATTTTTATAGTCAGAAGCTCACTCTGGCTTTGTTCTATTTTGATCTTTATAACTTATTTTAAAGATCATTCAGCAGTTATTCATTGCTCGGTCAGTCTTACTGACCTTTGGCCAAAAGCAGTAACATTTTGACCTGGCCTGTGGGGCTCAGCCCTTCCCACTCCATGAAGCTGGGGGTGTAAATAACTTCAAATAAAACCCTCCTGGCAATCTGTGCTAGGCACAGCATGAGAGAGAAATGGGACAAAGCAGGGGAAAGAATCAAGTGGGAGTACCCAAGAATAAGTGAGAATGGTATCCATGTTTTAAGCATCTCCCCCCGCCCCCCCCCCCCCGCTTAAGATATTTATTCTGCTTCTTTATTAGTAGCTACAAAAAAGAAATAATGAGAGGAAGCAACAAACCAAAATGCCAAAACACAACACACTCTCCTCCATGCGTGGGTCTTCCACATGGGCTTCTTTGGGGTTGAACATGTAGCATAAATCACAGCAGCAAAGAACTCAGTGAAGACACACTTCTGATGTTTATAAACAGCCAGGGGGAGTGACCACCTTGAAGGTAGGGCCATGGAGTCTGTGTGTTTGTGCCCATTTGTGTATATGTGTGCATGTGCACACAGGTATCACACATATGCCTGCTCATGAACAACACAAGGAGAAAGAATGCTCTGCCGGAGAAATGGCTATGTCTTGAAGCCATTCACATTTTATGGTGTCTGAACTTCAAAACTAAGCAGTTCTGAAGGCCATTTAGTGGCGGCAGTGCAGGACTTCCTGAGACAAGAAGTTCGGCTCATAAAATAGAGATGCAGCTGGCCAAAAAGACATGAAAAGAGCTCTTTGCAAACACCACCAGGGAGGGGTAGTGTAAATGACTCAGAAACATCTGGCTGATACTTCCCCTGAGGTTCCCAGAGGATACACTGGTTATGAAGGACCTGGTTAACTGAATGCCATCAGGCACCTTGACTAGTCCAGAACACTGGGGAAAAAGCATGGAGATGATACCATCACAGCTAGAGTGCTCCAGCAAATAAGCCCGTGTCAGTAGAGAAGGCTTAGGAATAAAGTGTTTCAGTTACACGATCTTATTCTTGATCTGGCCAAGGCATCTCTTCCATGAGATCAATAGTACATCTGCACGATCCCGATTACTTCATATGGAGGCCCATGTGCTTTTTATTCATCCAACACCTACAAAAGAGAAAAAAATCTAATCCTGTGCTAAATTGAATCAGATCAAATGTCAAAAGGGCTGAATAAAAAAGTATCTCTATAATAAGAGAAATAATGAGAAGATTGATATTGTGATTCTGCCATTGAGTCCCATGGCTCTAGGCCAGTCTACCTCAACAGCGTGAGCCTCAGTTTCCACATCTTTAAAAAGGGAATGACAGTATTTCACATAATTGTTGAGAGGACTGAAATAATGTAAATAGAAGTACTTTGCATACACAATAAATATATGACAAATGTTTAATTCAATAAATAAAAAGGAAGAATACATCTTGGGCATGGAGACACACCCATAGCATTAATTCTCCATAATCTTTATAGCTAAGTAGAATGCTAGCTGTCAGTGAAGAGGCTGGGTTGAAGGCAGCTCCATCTTGTGCTCAATTTCTTCTCTCTTCCCCTCCTGCAGTCGGCTCCTCCCTGAAGAAGAGGTTCAAGCGGCGGGAGATCGAAGCCATCCAGTGCGAAGTGCGGAAGATGTGCAACTACACCAAGATCCTGTCCACCAAGAAGAACCTGGACCACGTGAACAAGATCCTGAAGGCCAAGCGGCTGCAGAGACAATCAAAAACAGGCAACAACTTCGTCAAGAAGAGGCGCGGGCGTCCCAGGAAGCAGCCCACCCAGTTCGATGAGGACTCCAGAGACCAAATGCCGGTGCTGGAAAAATGCATCGACCTGCCCAGCAAAAGGGGCCAGAAGCCCAGCCTGAGCCCGCTGGTGCTGGAGCCCACCGCCAGCCAAGACACCATCATGGCCACCATCGAGGCCGTCATCCACATGGCCCGGGAGGCGCCGCCCCTGCCCCCGCCGCCACCGCCGCCCCTGCCGCCCCCTCCACCACCACCCCTACCCCCGCCGCCCGCTCTACCCAAGACCCCCCGAGGCGGAAAGAGGAAACACAAACCGCAGGCCCCCGCTCAGCCCCCACAGCAGCCGCCCCCTCAGCAGCCCCTTCCCCAGGAAGAGGAGGTGAAAGCCAAAAGGCAGAGGAAGTCCCGAGGGAGTGAGAGCGAGGTCCTTCCCTAGGGCGGGTCTGGGCGTCTGCACCTGGGGCCTAGGGAACTGACACGTGGGAAGCGCAGTGAGCCGGGGCGGGGATGTCATCTCCCCGCTGCAGGGACACCCACGCCCTTCTCTCCAGAAGCTGGGCAGGCAGAATCGGGCCAGAAGACGGGGCTGAGCCATCCGGAGCTCTTGGGAAAGCAAAGCAGGGAGACACCTTCAGAAGAAGCTTGTCTGAGCCTCACCGCAGCTCCCACCACGCGGCGCTCCAGTGCGGCTGGATCCTCCACAGGCCAGCAGAAGGCCCCCCCGGAGGAGCAGGCTGGTGGCGCTCTCTTGACCTCCCGCTGCCACGGTGCGCCCTCGACTCGGATTTCATTTGCTGGCCAGGGAAATCGAAAGGGAAATACCCTCAATTAGGAAACATTCCAAGGGAGAAAAGCTGCAGATTGCTCAACTGGCATTGCTGTAACCCGTTTCCATTTAATTGGTTTTTTTTCTTTTGGTTTTCAAGCTCTGCTAAGCTTTGGGTACCAACGTCATCTTCGGGTGACCTGAATCTTTCCCTTAACCGTGCAGTTTCTCAGATGGAATTGTGTGATCAGAAGGTGGAATTCTAGTGATAGGCGACCTTAGACCCGCATTCATGTTCTGTGTGCCTCCTCTATCGCACATACACTGATTTTTAGCACTGTCTGTTCCTACTTTTCCTTTGCCCATTGTACTTCCATATGCCTTTTCATTAACTTATTTGCTGCCTTTTTTGTTTTTCTTGGTACACATTTAAATAATGTAATCCTTAACCTGTGCTGTAAAGTTCACCCTTGGCATGCTGTTCCAAGAAGCTGGCTTTAAATCCCAATCATTGTGAAACACTCAGTATTGATAAAACCTTTTTAATAAGTGATGCAGAGCAGCCAAGGATATGTTGACCCAGATGTCAACCAGGCTATTTTTATACTTAAAACATATCAGCAGAGCATAGGCAGAATAAAATGGTTTTAAGACCACACAGCAAATGGAATAACTGACAAACCACCAAAAACTGAAACCCCAGACCCACCAGAAAGACAAGTGTCTAGCAATGCCTTGTTACCTGATCTTTTTCATACAAATGATTGTCATAGGTTGTTCAAAAAAAGGAAACAAAAAGACAATAGAAGAAGTCCATTATCCCTTGAAAATTATTTCTTAAAAGCAAGTGGGAGTAAGTGTTCTTATTTGGAAAAAAAAGAAAATGCTCAAAGGGTATCACCACTTCAATTATATCAAGCCACCTTGGACAAAGTATCCAAACTGTGGTTGCCTTAATAAACTAAAACATTATTGTACATAATGTAATTATAAATCTATCAGTCTGCATGGATGCAAACTGTGTGTGACAAATCGTCTTTTAAATGGTCAATTTCAGCTGTACATTTCTCATCGAAGTTGTACTCTAGCCATTGGTTTAGCGTCGACAGATATTCCATCTCTATTACCCATTTCCACAGCCCGAATAAAATATGTTAAGCAGGCTCAGAATGAATATGAAGAATTCCATTTCCGTAGATGTTTTCTAAAAGTCAGATTGTGGAAATTTCAAATAAGTATTTTCAATTTCCTCCCTCACTCCCCCTTACCTTCCTCAAGACATCAAACACCTGGCGTGGTAGATTACAGAAAGAGACACTGAGAGAGAGAATTAAATTTTCTAATGGTAATTAGAATATCTGGTTTACCTCCAAATTAAGTTTCTTTACAGGAAGTTGGGACCAGCTGGAAATTGTATTATCACTTCAGAACACAATATTATTTCCTTAGAGATGGATTTTTATTGGCAACATTAAAGAATAAGTGATGGGGTATTTATGTGAGAAAATTTTTAAGTTCCAAGTTAATATGCTTGCATACATCACTGTTGCATCATGGCACCAGCAGTTGGTTGAAATTATCCACATAGTCATACTCTTCTGGTCTGTCTCCATTGACTTCACATCATTTGCTGCCCACTAGTCAATCGCATTTAATCCTAGCAATATGTAAGTTTAAAGGACTGCCTTCCCCTGTTCTTTAAAGCTTACATCCTAGGTGCTCAGTTTATGACCTAGGTTGACCTTTGGCATTTCATACAAGTTGAACAGCAAAATCAAAGCAGCCATTTTTAATTCGTCATTCCCAAGCTCTGAGTGGTTCCAAAGTCACCTGAAAGGAAGGTTTAAATTGACCCCTCTCGCCCTCCCCCCATTGTTATGAAACAGCAACCATTTTCATTCCAATTCAGCCATAAAGAGGTTTCTCTTACTGGATTTTAAAATCATTTCCTTCTTTCTTTCATTTGCCCTTCTTCCTTCCTATGTTGTGCTATCTCTCCAACCACATCTATAAGCAGAATAAACCTTCTTGCAGAGAAGGATGAGCTGGCAGGCACTCTGCAGACTTCTTTAATAAGGACCCAAAATTTAATTGACATTAACCTCTAGTAGGTGAGAAATTCCCAAAACACCTTTGAGTACATTAGAATTTCCAAACCTCTGAAAGATATTTCAAGAGATTTAACAGCGCGTTGCAACTTACACGTGAACTCTGGTCTACGATGGTCATGTGAGTTAAATTCGAATCCTCTACATATATGACCCTAGATATAGATTGGAATACTGCAGAGGACCAAAGCTGAGGCATGCTAAACAGCCGCTGGAAGGCAAAAGCAAGTTCCATCACCTACGCAACCTCCTCTCTCCACCACCCAGTTTCTCCCTCAGTATCATGTTATTGTTTTCTGCTGCTTTTCACTAACCTTACTCATCTCATCAGTACAACCATTTTCTGATTCTCTAACTACCCCGATTCCATTAGCATCTCCCCTCCTGTCCAAACTCAGCTCAGCAGTGGGACAGTGCAGCTTCACAGCCAGTTGGTTGCAGAGCTGGAAAGGACCCAGCTCTCCCAACCCAGATTGTGGAGGTCTCTGGCCACCCAACACTGCCTTCTGGGGCTGCATTTCTTTTTTAGAAGAGGTCATTTGGGATACATGGTACTCCGTATACAGCTTCACAAAATATTTTATAAGAGAAATCCTTTGATTTTATTTATTTTTATTTTGTTTTCTGGATTACTTGCCTTCAGTAAGCAGATATGTGCCCACTTGTAAGGAGTCTGGTTAGTGATAAGAAAAGGATGAAATCTAGATACAAAAGCTTCCTTGAAGGTGATGATGGATCTTTAATCCACCTGACTAAGTATCTGGAAGAGCCACTTGCTTTTCCACCCCTGATCTCAAATGAGAGGAGCAGAAGTTTAACTTCCTCAAATAGCCTGGCTCTGGCTAAAACCCAAGGAAGAAAGGTCAACGGAAAGGAAAGAAAAGCATGTCAGGGGCTGGTTTGTGACTTGGCAGGACCAGGAATCAGCAGCCACTGACAGCTCAAAGAAGGTGACTAAGGGCTGGCAGAAGATTATTAGCATGTTAACTTGGCTGCTGTCCGGAGTAGGAGGCCATATTCAATGGCAGTCAGAATTTGTGTTCTGCACATTGCTGGGTCTATAAATATGATAAGCAAGTGGTGACAGAATTATAGAATAAGGTGATGTACTACATGCAGATCATAAAGGATTTGGTTTTAAGACTTAAGTAGAAAATCCCACTCCTAGCTTATTACCCAGCAATATTCAGATAATGAGCTTTTGGAGAATATTTTTTTTTTTCCTGTCACTAGAAAGATTTACCTGGGAACTGTCTAAAGTCTATATACATATTTCCAAAGCCTTTAAATACCAACCGTAGCATAGAGAGAGAGGGGTGGCAGAAGCTGAAATGCCTCAAAAGCCATTTAAGTGTTACGTTGCAGGATTTTCAGTCCTTCTCGTTATGTAAAAGTAGATAAATATAGACGTTATTCTCAACACTACCCTATAGTATCACAGTGGTCCAAATGCCAGAGCTTACAGATAATGTCATCACAGTGCCTAGAAACTCGAACTGTAATATACCGTAGCATTTTCTTGGTGTTTCTTAAAGTTTCTTTCCACAATACAAGGTCCTCTCTGCCTCTTGTTTCTTGGAGAGTTCACCCCACTGATGAGTCTTCTTTCCCTGTTGGACTCACTCATTTGGGGAACAGTCTTAGAAGCACATATCAACCAAGGAAGAAACTTCCTGGATATCTATTGCCCACTTGCCCAGGTATAATAAACACTAAGGGGGGAAATTGAAAGGAGCTGCCAGCTGATCAATGCAGAAGGGCAGTTCCACCCTAGATTGGTCTTTCTTTTTCTTCCTTTTTTAAAAAAAAAAATCTATTTCTTAAATAATAATAAATGCACATGACATGTTAAATATGTACATATATATTTCAAAAGAAAAAAATGGGGCACAAGATTGTCTTACAAGTCGTGCTGGCTAATTTTTAGTTTGTATTCATAAGTGGTTTTTAAAAGCCTTTTTTAAAGTGTAATTTGCATGTTCTACTTTGATTGTATGTAAACATATTTTAGAACAAAAAATGTATTTGTATTTTATTGAATATAGAGGCAAGAAAAATTGTACATTGTTTGAAATGTTCTTTTTGTAACAGTTTTTATTCATAAAGCATTTTTGTACATTTAAAATGAACATGGACTTGCTGTTATTTGAGGCGTAGATCCATCTAGCATGCTTACTGTCATGCTCCCCCATGGTCTTAGATGTTGGGTTTTAAACATTTTTTTCTAAAAGAAAGCTCAGTCTTTTTCGCTACCAGATCAGGTTAGCACAGTATACAGCACTTAACTATTAAAAAAAAAAAAGTTAATCCTATTCATATGTTATTCATTGTGTGAAATTAAAGACATTCAATTCAGTCTAATGTGAGTTGTGAATTCTTTTGTTTTATTTTCCATCTGGTTCACATCACTAAGGAGTTTAATAGCATTTGGGGGTCTTTGCTCACACCAACTGGATACAGAATCATTGAGAAAATTTTAACAAAACTTCTATCTTGTGTATGATACTGGGAAGCACATTCTGGGTAAGAGTCGAGTCTGATTTACTGGGTTACTGGTCACAGAGTATTGCACTAACTGGCCACCAAGCCAGGGCTGATTCATAGAACCGGTCAGACCTCTGCTGAGAGCAATCAAAAGATACTGTAAGATGTTGAAGACCCACCCTGTCTTACATTTTTAGAAGAGCATTACAGATAGGGATTAAGCTTTCTTATTAAATAGCCCATGATGACAGACATCTGAAGGAAGGATCCCTGGCTGCACTTAAAGTTTTACCAGAGTGACAGGAGGGGCTACTTAATAAATGACAGACAGTTACTGATTACCTACCCAGTGCCTATGCTGAGAGTCCTTGCTCTAAAGGGACTTATTAGACCTACATTTGAAAAATGAAACTAGCAGTGTGAAGCAGAATATGGCCAGTGGTGAGAGAGTGATGGGGTCTCAGAAGAAAGGTGGAGTCTTCGTTGCTTCGCTGCCTGCTTTTTCCACTCTTTCTGTTCCAGTTTTTAGTTTGTATTTATAAGTGGGTTTTAAAAGCCTGTCTTAAGTACTTTGCACATTACTAATTGTATGTGAATATACATGCATTTATGTATTTTTTGCCTTCTTTCTTTGTCTTACCTTTGGATGTGTGTCTTCCAAAAGCCAAAGCCAACAAAATAGGCAGGAAGTTATGAGCTGCTCCCCATCCCTAACCATCCATCTGACCCAACATAACATCCCCTGTGATTTCGCTATTTGCAGCCCCTGCAGTAGCATTACAGCAGTCAGTAGACGTCTTCAGGGTTAGAGTATTAGAGAGCACCGTAGGAGGAGTGACATACTCCTACTCCAGTAAGACTCAGAGAATTTGGTCAGCAACCTCTGGTAGAATAGAACTTGCCTCCTTTTTCCTTTCCTCCTCTGACTATCTTGCACTGAACTAGGACAATTTAAAGCATTCTATAATCCTCATGCTAACTTGGGCTCATTAGTTTCAACGGTATTTCTGAAATCGGTCGTGACTTCCGAGAGTGGCCCTAATCTCTTTCTACCAGCTTCTCATGCAGGGACAAAGCTGTTGCTTAGGAATGGATTGGCTCAACACTAAAGTTTTTAATCAGTCCATAGTGGAGCAATGTGCTGACAAAGATTCTCAGGAAAGTTGGATGTGTCCACATGTGGCTGGCACAAATCTCAGGCAAGAAATTGATGGGTGGGAGGAATATATACTTTTTAATATTTTCTCCAGCTCGACTTTATGAATTTTCAAGGCCTCATTCCACCAGCATATAGCAGAATCTTACTTGCAGAGCCAGGGAATCATTTTTCTAATCTGGAGGGGAAGGAAGGAGGGGTTCTGGAAAGCCTGGATCCAGCTTTCTTCCAAATTGTTTCTCTGTGCCCAATTCCTATTTCCTAAGTTTCTAGATATTTGAAGCCAGAAAATATTTTTCATGTTTTTCCCTGCTTTTTGCTGTCAGAAACGTGCCTTGAGGGGATAAGCACAAACCAGCCTCGCTGCCTGTACTGGGGTGAAGCAACCACTAGAATAGTGAGGATGCTGAAGATTAGTTGCCACGTGGAAAAATGTAACCTGTCACACATGCAATAGGGTGTGAGGACAATGGGAGGCGAAGGGCTGAAAGATTTGCCCTCGATCATGAAAGTCTCTTTACAGGTCAGATGAAACAATGAATGGCTATAAAAGGCAGTGGGCAGGTGGAAAACCGTGGTGTGTGAAAGTGGCGTGTGCATTTCCGATCCTTATTACTAATCCTTTCACTTTTATGGAAATGCCAATACCCAGTTTTAAATTGTTATCAAGCTGTGGTAATACACTTTTCTAAAGTGTCATAAGGGCTTTCCTTTTGGATTAATTAAAGAAAAAACTAGTTCCAAAGTGTTATATTCACATATGGGAAGATTGGGAAGTAACAAATGATAAGTGTTAAAACCTCAAAAGAGTTGGAAACCATACATCCTCTCATTATAAAGCTTGCTATTTTAAAGCTTAATTCTCTACTTTTTAGGGAACAGAACACTGGAATAAGGGTCAAGTGACATGGGATATGTTCGTTCTTGGTCACTGAAGAACTCTGTATACAGGAGCAAAACTTCTTTGAGTCTCATCTGCCTACTACATAAGATGGGAGGTTAAACTCTCAATGGCGTCTACGATATTTTTTAAATCAAAAATCTCTGATTCTCTCATCTTTGTACCTTCTAAACAGAACCTACCTTTGATTTTCAACTTCATTCTCCATGATTGTGAAAAGCCAGCAACACTCTGGGATTGTTGTCTTAGCAGTCTATCCTATCTTAATACTATGTGTTAGTATGGAAGAAGTTAATGAAAAAAATAGAATGAGGACATACAGTTAAATCTTTCCTTCCTTCTTCTCCTCCTTCATTCCTTCCTCCCTTCTTTCCTTCCCTGCTTGCACATTGCTAGGTACCAAAGTTGGAAGAATGAGCAAGAAAGACAAGGCCTGGTTGAGTTTTATTCAAGCAAATAGTCCTAGTTCATGACTACCCTCCCTATATTCTCTGCCTATTCAAATTCTATCTATTTTTAAGGTGTAATTCCAACTCCACCTTCTCCAGGAAATCTTATGACCACAGTCCAGAAACACCTCTTTATCTCTTGTACCACTCATTTGGTAACTGCCCTTAATATTCCACATATGAAAGAGTATAATTGTCAACCAGGGCTGTCATATAAGGTAGTACCGGTTGCTCTCTGCACAAGGGAACTTGGCTGACAGAATCAAGGCTGAAATCCAGCCTGAACTTCTCTTGCCAAGATCTGCTCCCTTGCTGTGGTGTCCACCCTGAGTGGGCATCTTTTTCTCATTTTCACAAAATTTCTTTTGCAAGAACAGAACCCTTAAAAAAATTCAAGATCTACTGTGTATCTTTGTAAAGCAGAATAAACTAGCAGAATAGTATCTGCCTCTTCTTCCCACTCAAACCATCCACGCTGCCCTTGCCTCAAGGCCTCCATAGCCACTCGCAAATCCAGGAAATCCTACCACCACCATTATAGTCAGTAATACTCTATACTCTAGAAGACTCAGGAACCATTTCCAAACTTAACAATTGCCCCAGCTTTCTTCCAGGAGAAGTTTGAAGAAAATGATGACACCAGAAAACAGCCTTGCACAAATATGTCAGCTAGGTTCAGTGTCACATCCTCATGAGGACAGTTTACAAAGATGCTGGCATCCGACATATCACAAAGTCTTCAATTTTCCAAAGACTTTTAAAATTTTTATTTTTACATAATTACAGAGTCACAGGAGGTTGCTAAAGAATATACTAAGTCCTGTGCAAGTGTCTCCTAACTCTCCCCATCCCATTCCATGCCAACATCCCACACAACCACAGTACAATATAAAAACCAAAACATTGATATGGGCCCAATCCGTAGAGCTTATTCAGATTTCACCACATATACATGATTTCATTTATGTTTGTGTGTTTGTGCGGGCGGTTGTAAGTGCAGAGATCTGTGCAGTTTTGTCACATGTATATAGCCTTATGAATCTGTGCAGTTTTGTCACATGTATATAGCCTTATGAATCAGTCACCACAGTCAAGATATTCAGTTGCACCATAGCCACAGAGCTTCCCCTGTGGTCATACGCCTTTGAGTTCCCCTCACCATCCTTAACCCCTAGCAACCACAAATGCCTTCTCCATCTCTATAATTCTGTTATTTCAAGAACGTTACATAATAGAATCATGCAATATGTATCTTTCTTAAAGTAAAGCCCATTTTTAGAAAAGTTTTAGATTTAGAAAAAGTTCTGAAGCTAGTACAGAGAGTTCCCATGAACCCTGCACCTAGTTTCCCTCAGTATTAACTTCATACAGTAATGTGGTACATTTGTTACAATTCATGAAACAATACCATTACATCATTATTAATAACATCCACACTATCTTCAGATGCCCTTAGTTTTTAGCTAATCTTTTTCAGTTACAAGTTTCCACCCTGGATACCATATTATATTTAATACTAATGTCTCCTTAGGCTTCTCTTGGCTATATCGGTTTTTCAGACTTTCCGTATTTGTGATGCCCTGGCAGTTTTGAGGAACACTGGTCAGATATTTTGTTGAATATCCTTCCATTGGGTTTGCCTGATGATTTTCTCACAATTAGGATGGGGTCATATGCTTTGGGGAGAAAGACCACAAGGGTAAAGTGGGATTCTCCTCACTTCCTATCAAGGGTACCTACTACCAACATGATGCATCATTGTTGATGCTAATCTTCATCACCTGGTAGACGTAGTAGCTCTTCAGTTTATCCACTGTAAAGTTACCCTGCTTTTCTCTTTTTTCTTTTTTTAAGAGACGAGGTCTCACTCTGTTGCCCAGGGTAGAGAGCAGTGGTGCAATCATATCTCACTGCAGCCCAAACTCCTGTGCTCAAGTGACGCTTCTGCCCCAGCCTCCCAAGTAGTTGGGACTACAGGTGTGCACCACCACATCTGGCTATTTTTTTTTTTTTTTTAGTTTTTGTGAAACTAAACTAAACAGGAGCTGGCTATGTTGCCCAGGCTGGTCTTGAACTTCTGGCCTCAAGCAATCCTCCCACCTTGGCCTCCCAAATCACTGAAACTACAGGTATGTGCCACTGCACCCAGTCCTCTCCATTTTCAAACTGTATTCTTTGGAAGGAAGTCACTTTATGGAGCCCACACTTAAGAAAATGTGGAGTTATGCACCACCTCCTCAAGGTCTGCATACATACATAAATTATTTGGAATTCTTATGCACAGGAGATTTGGGTTTTTAACACTTTTGATTTTGAAATAATTTTAGACTTACAGAAAAGATGCAAAAACAGTACAGAATTCTATTTAATG